TTTTTTTTTTTTAAAAAAAAAAAAAAAAAAAAAAAAAAAATCCTACTTGCAAAACTGAATCATAGGTTCTATCTATGTTAACCCTCTATTCCGGATTTCTCCTTTGGGTCAGTATAATTGGCCTTAATTTTTATCTACACAATCTTCCTTGTCCCTGCTCCAACACTTCTCATACTAAGATCCTTCTTACCTACTCCAAATGTCAGAGGTCTGCTTGCCTTTCTGGATTCTTTCAGTTATTTGCTCCTCTATTCTCCTATGCCTCCTTGTGATTTGAAATGCTCCAACAGTCATTGCTTTGCTTATTCTTTTCCAAGGAAGGCTAAAACCAGATGCTAAAAGATATACATTTCAATTTTGGAAAACAATTAAAATAAGTGGTAATATTAAATTTGTATGGGCAATCTTTATATTAATTATGAACATCATGTGATCAAAATTCTGAAAATATTAAAAAATTAAAGTGGTGGTACCAATTAATGTAGTTAAGGTATCGATAAAATCCTATAGTGAATAATAAACTATTTTTCTAAGAATGTTAAAAATGTTATCAAATAAATATTAAGCATTGCATATAATATGAATCTATGAGGAGAAATTATTAGCACTCTGTATAATGTTGTTAAATAGCTGCATCGACATGGGAAAATGCAATTTTTAAAAAAGGAGAAGAGGGACTTGGAAGGAAATTATATTTGTTCAGCAACTACTACATCTAGGCTCAGTTAAACATGTAGTCATTGCATCTCAGAACATTATTAAGCCTGTGAGTAGACTTTTTTGAGAGATTTTCATTTCAGGATTGAAGCACTTCATTTCTGTGACCTTCCACAGTTGAATTTTGGCATATGCTAACACATACATATGTGATTTCAGTGTGAAAGACAATGCAATAATGCTTCAAAGGGTTAATAAGAAGATGCAAATCTTTTCTCTCTAAAGATAAGTAATGCAAACCATCTCATTTAAAAAATGTATTTTCATATACTCATAAAGTCTGTTGAATAAGCACTTGGAGGGATTAAAGTTGAGCATTTACATTATTCTCTGTGTAAAAGAATATTGCAAATTTAATAAGTAATTGTAATATGCTATTCCACTATTTCCTAAAATTAAGAAATGGAGATTATTCTTCCTATTGCTTCAGTTGTAGATATTTTCATCAGTGTATCTTATCATCAACAATGAAGGATGATTTATGATCCCGTCAAATACAGAACAGGAATAATGTAGACTCAAGTGACACCACAATAATTTACCCTATTTTAAAAAGTGTCTGTTGTCTTTGTCTTACAACTAGTAGAACTCAATTTCAACAATATTTAGAATGTATTTATTGTCTAGAACAACAAGAACAAATTAAGTATATTTTGTGTGTGCATTAAAAGAATTGCTTTGCCATGAGTGGTATAATTTGTTTCATTGAGATTTTGTATTGAAGGTGAAGTAGTCTGAACTGAGCTTATTCACTAACTGTAAATAAGAGAGTATCATACAAGTGTCATAGATATAAGTGAAATATATCAAGAAAGATTGCAGTATTTTTTCTTTTAATAAAGCAGAATGTCATGCTAATCCAAAGGCACAAATACATCTTAAATATTTAAAATAAGAAGCATAAACTTAAGGTGTGAGTATAAAATTCAATTAATTGTTGGCACTCAAATAATTTGATTAATAAAAACTTTCTGTTTATATAAATGTTTAATTCAAAGATTAAGGTTCATGTAAACTTTGCTGGATCAAATTGTCTTTGAAAAAATGTTTTTATAAGTATTAATAGTAAAAACTGAAGTAAAACTCGAGAAACATTACATTAATGTTAGACATTAGTATCAATAGAATGACCATAAATCAACCCATGAAAATAATAAATCAAAATTCTTACATTTCTTTGCAGATCATTGTAAAATATGTTGATACATTAATTTGTGCCAGTTTTAAAAACAAAATACTGCTAAAATGCTGACATTATTGTTCCCTCTTATATTTTATTGAATATAGATTGTCATTGCCTAATTACACATAACCTATCAAGAAATACCAATACTTTCATTGATATCTTTGCTTCTTTGTTTAAAGTAGCATAGGGTTCTGATTATTTAACACTACTTATATTCAGTTCAATATTTTGACATTTTATACTAATGTTTAAGTGTACTCTTAGACAGTAAAAATAACATTTATACAGTTGTATGGATATGTTTAGTCTAGAATAAGAATGAAAAATAAGAAACAGATCATTTCAGTTCTACTCATATTTTACAATTTACTACATGCCAGCTCTTATTTGGAAACTTTTATAAGTAGAGTCATTTGGAGCATTCCATTGAAATGTAAAAAGAAAAAAAAGATGTTTATCACAGTATTGCCTTGCTCTTGCAGGGCCTAGAGTTCAGGGACAAGAGATAAGGACCACTCAGACAATTGAAACAGTGCACTTGAAACAGTCTGTTTACAGTTAGTTCCAGATTATCTGTTAACTTCAAATCATTACTCCACATTAGCGGCAAGAAATTTAACAGCATACATATGTATATATATATATATATATGTGTGTGTGTGTATATATATATATATATATATATATATATATATATATATATATGAAATATTTAATTTAACTGCTTTACATAGAAAGCCCAAAGAAATGCGAGAAACAGAACTTTCACACTGAGGGAAAAACAATCTTTGTTTTTTATTATGATTTCTCTGCTCTTGAAGTATAGTGTGGATATAACAATAGTAAACATGCTAAATTGCTTTCTCAGTTTTCCTAATTCTTTTACCATAATTACTTTAAAACCTCGTAGCCCTATCCAGGAAAAATTAGTGTCCATGCCTATTGCTTCATGGACAATTTGAGCTTGGTTACTCTGCACAAACCGATTCAAGTATTTTGATTAGTTTTAACATATTCATGCAAAAGAGAAAAAACACTAAAATAAAGCAACAGATGATTGGACAAACATAACTTGAACAGCAACAGTGAAATCCATCAAAAGACCAGTTGGATAATTCCTACTCAAATTCCCAGGTAGGCACAGGAATTTTTTCTTCAGAATATTCCTGAAAATATAGCAAGGAGAGATTCCTACATCATATAACCCTGTAAATTATGGCAAGGACACTGTAGAGATTTAGTGTCTGAACGTGCAGATGGGCAGGTTCTGTCCTCTGATAACCATAGTTTTGGAGAATGAGTTAGTTGTCTCTCCTTGGTTGATAGTTTCGAGTACTTTGTAAATAAGAGTGTTCATGAGTGACATTAATATTACATTTAATATTTGTCAAATAATCTTCATAGAGAGATACCCTAAAGCAGGTCACTCTGCACTGTTAAGACTTTCCTCCAATGTTATATTGGTCTGCATTCCATAACCAGTGCATGTTTAAGCTATGATACCACCTGAAACAAGAAGTTATGAATGTGATGGGGCCTAAAGAAACCTTTGGCTCTCTAGGGTAAGAAATAATCTAAAACCTGCTCCCAACTGGTATGTATATTTATAACCATAAATACATTTTTTTTTACCTTACATATAAGTGAAAATCATGTTTCAGCCTTTTACCTCTGGGAGCTTGCATAGCTTGGAAGTTAATAAGTATTTTATTCTGGTATATGTTACTAATAAGTGACCTTAGAAAGTTTGTGTTGAATAGTTAAGGAATTTCTTCAACCCAAGTTGTTTATCAAAATCTTAAAATGACTTCTAGCTACAACATCCATAATAAAAACATAGTGACAATTCAATTGTTTATCATTGACACTTTTATGGCAATGTCTAAATGTCAATTTCTCCGTAATTTAACCACTAAGGATTTTAATTCCCCTTAGCCAGTTACGTATAACACTGGGAAAATGAATTTTTAAACAAAGATTATCTAAAACAATGGGCAAAAATATATCTGAGGATATGATTCGAAGTATTTGAACATTAAAGACTCATTTATTGATAAAATTATGTTAAAGAGTAAAAGGTAATCACATATTTATAAGTATATCAAGACAACATTGATATTGTTCCCATTTCAATTTACTTTATTTGAAGCTGAGGGCAGAAATCAATATTATTTTCACTTGCAATACATTTTCTTTGTGTGTAATCCATTGTGAGTGAATACGGCATATATAAGAGATAGAGATTTATGGACTCTTTCTAATCTAATTTTACACACAACTAATATTCATTTAAATGGGTAACAATTTTGATCTGGCACTTCAGTCTATTAAAAATTCAACTTTGAAGTAGCATTGTAATTATAACTTAAAAAGAGTTTTCCAAAGTTTCTCTCAATATTTAACATCTGCTAAAGATAACTGGCTCCTTCAAGCCTAAGTTCCCTGAAATTCTCTGGATGAAAAGTGTAACCTTTATTAAGTATTTTCATCTTAAACTGAAATCCACTTTAATAATCTATTTGCCCAAGATTGGATTAAAAAACATGCAGGGCTTTGTTATACATTTAGCTCACAAAGATTTTGTTTTCTTTGTTTTTCCTTAAACCCCTACTTGTGGAGAGGTTATGTTATGAAATATAGTTCTTAAGAAATAGAGCACTTTATCCATATAATAAATTGCAGCACTTCAATCATAGAGTCAAATTGATACCCAAGAGTTGGTGCCGGTCAGGTCTCTATATTGAAATTCATAACAAAAGAAACAACAACAGCAACAACACAACAACAAAAGGAAATGGACCATGGGCAGGAGTATTTGATCATATGTATATGTGTACAAGCTATTCCAAGCTAGAAGTTTCCCAAGAAATTAAGGTCAATGGAATAGTTTTGGTCATAGGGTCACTGCAATCTAAATGCTCTTTGTAGCATTCGTTGTTAAAGACTCTGTGATCTTGGTGTTATGCTTTGCTGTCATCTTCTTTTGATTGAATGATGTCGTTAGAAACCTTAATTTCTATAGTTTCTGGATTTAGGACTTCTTTCCCATTTTCTTCTTTTAAAGGCAATTTTCTGAAAGAGAATAGAAAAATAATAAACAATTGGTTGAGGCACTTTAAGTGGTATCTCTTAACATTTAAGTTATTGTTTTGTAGAAGAAAATAGAGTACAATTATTAGAATGAAAAAAATCAGATTTGTTAAATACCAAATTGACAGAAATATAATCTAAAAGATAATAATACAATATTATCTACTGTAAAAATGTGACGTAATGAATAATAATGAATGAAACAATATATTTTTAGATTTGGATGCACCAAATTGTTCATTATAGGGTGGCTTTTGTTTAATAACCCTCTGATGTATTAAAAATATAATGAAGTGCTTTGGAATACGAAAAAGCCAAAATAATTTTATATGTTAACTAGCTGATTTACTAGTACTCCGGGTTTTCAAGTAAAAAGAAACAACAGATGCTGCCATATCTGTTACATAAAATTTAAAATTTTATTTTATGGGTGAATTAGTAAAATTTATTTTATGGGTGAATTAGTAATATTCTTTGGAACTTAATGCAAATAGATATATTTCAGGACTTTTCCACTTTTTTATATTTATTATATATGTTTCTTTAATTGGTCTCTTTTCACTATTATTTTTTCTTGATACTTCTGTAATATTTATAGCAATTTCTTGAGAGTTTCCAATTGTAACCTATGAAGCAATAACAACCTTTGTTTCTTAATATTAAGACAGCTTTACAATTCATACTATGATGACAATAAATCAAGATTTAGAGTTTTTTCTTTATTATTACATCTTTATTATTACATCTTGTGCATATGGCTTTGAAGGCAGTATTTCCTCCTTTGACAAAATAATTTTTTCACATCAAAAAAATTAAGCTACAAATAGAATTCTAACTCACCTCTGTGACTGCAGCCTCACCATTTTATGGAGTAGTGAATGCTACTATGTTAGTTCCTCTGGGGTTTATTTGTAATTTCTTTTATGTTTCTGAATGAGAAGAGAAAGCCATGTCTTCTGAAAGTCAAAGCTATTATGTGAAAACTAGCCAATCAAAAGTAAGTTATTTCATTGCTGAAGTGAAGTAACATCTACTTTGTACCTACTAGGGCAGGCTCTCTTTTATGTTTTTTATAAGTAGTACATTCAGAGTTCTTTTCTCCCATTCCCAAATACTGAAAATATTGATAATAAAGGATTATAAAAACAATGGGTTATTTCTAGCAGCAAAATATACAGAAATTTAGAGCTTGAATGGGAGGTTAGCATAATGGGAGGTTAAAGTATTTATTTTCTTTAATTGGGAATCAGAGTAATTATTAAATCATCTTGTTTTGGTTTGGTTTGGTTTGGTTTGGTTTGGTTTCAAAAAATGGCCCGTTCTATGTAAGGGCATTTTCTTAACTAGTCTTCATACACACCATTATATCATAGTCAGTGTTAATTAATACATAGGAATTTGTTTTGCTGTGTAATATTTTGCTTCATTGAAAAGACTTCTGATTTCCAAAGGGAAGTGTATAGATGTGTTTATTTCACACTATTTCTATTTTAGACTGTCATATTCATATTCAAAGCAATAACTAATTTTCTGACACATTCTTATTTCAGTAAAAATCAGTCATATTTTGCAAGTATCACTTTCTTAAACAATAAGATTAGTGTAGGAAAATCCAACTTATTGACATGCTTGCATCATTTTGATATTTTTGCATAAACTTTTGAGTATATGTGTGAACAGGAGATTTTTCTCTGACGATACAAAATCTTCATGTGAAATATCTCCATAGAAAATGGATTTTAGATATTCACATGTACTTTCATTGAAGAAGAAACAACATTGTTTTTAAAATGATGTTATTTGTCAATATGTGCTACAAATAATGATAATGTGTTCATCACTTTACAAATACTTATCCAAGAATAATTAAGCATTTCAATCTACATACTCAGGTTCTGTTAGTGGTGTGGTTTCATTTGGCTCATTTACTGGGCTCCCATCTTCATGATTAGTAATTCTTTCATCCTCTGTTCTCATCTCTACTATTGGTTCTTTTGATCCATCTTTCCTAGAAAAATAAAGAAAAAAAAAACTTACCTATGAAATGTAAAAAAGGATGCATTATGGAACATGATTAAAATCTCTACAAAATCCCGCCACCCATGGATTCTGATCCAGCTTGGTCAGAATAAGAAGACTACTAAGAATTATTTTTCATTTAAATTCATCTAGCCATATATTGTTCAGAAAAAGAAGAGATTCCATTTTGTCTAGAATTATTTTCCTCATCAAAATTGTGTTAAATATTTCACAAAAGTAGTTCAAATTTTCAATTTGATTATGCAGTTTCTTTTGGAAAATAAATGAAAATCAGTTCATTAAATTAAAGTTATGATATGAAGTAGCTTCTTCCCCATAATTAGCCATACACATACACATTAAAATATATATTTTTTATTTTAAAAATAAAATGATGTTATTTTAAAAATAACATCAAATAAAAACATGTTTTATTTGAAAAATAATGTTTTTATATCAAAATTTGGAAGATAAAATTTATATATGATACTTTTAGTTTCAAATGTCTCTGAATTTATATGATTTTAACTATAATGCAACCATTGACATATTTAATATACTTATGTTTTTAAGAAAATAGTTTAAAAAGAATAATATTGTAACATATATGCATGATTATTTTCACTTATAATTTCTTATCCATGTCATTTTGTTAGATGTCTAAAATCTGAAATTAAGTGTAATTTATCATAATTGTGAGTAGAAATTTTACTACAAGGTTTTGTAGCACAAAAAAGTAAACAAAAGAAAGAAAAACAAGGAAGCCATTTGCTGATGATAAAGAATGAATTGAGATATAAGGGTTCAGAATTATGTACTCATACAGATTTCAAATATGGCACACACAAAAAAATAGGAAGGAATGGGTGTTTTCAACTACCCAGGAATATAGTCTTACCATACAATCCCACAATTGTGCCCTATGTATTTACCCAAATGAGCTGAAAACTTATATCCACAAAAAAATCTGTGCATGAATCTGTACAGAAGTTCTATTCATAACTGCCAAAAATTGGAACAAACTGAGATGTTTTTCAATAGGTAAATGGATAAACAAACTGTGGCACGTCCATACAGTTGAATATTACTCAGCAATAAAGATAAGTGAACTATTAAGTCAAAGAAAGACATAGAAGGACTTTAAATGCATATTGCTAAGGTAAATAAGCCAGTCTGAAAAGGTTACATACTGTGTAATTCCAACTAAATGACATTCTGGAAAAACAAACAAACAAACAAACAAAAAAACTATAGAGACAGTAAAAAGATCAGTGGTTGTCAGGGGTTCAGGATGAGGGAGTGAGGGCAGGATGTAGTGGTGAAGCACTGGTCATATTAGGGCAGTGAGTGTATCCTATTTGATACTGTAGTGGTTTCATCATCATATGATGATGGAATTAGTTCTTTAAAGTCAAGTAAACTAGGATTACATTTAAAAGAATGCAAACAACAAAAACCCAACAATGGCTCAAATATTTAACAGACCTCACAAATGCTGAGACCTGAAAAGAAAAATATTAAGGCTAATAAAACACTTTGATCAGGTGGCAGGTGTGATGTTTTTGCTTTTGTTTGAGTATGTAGGTACCTCACATAAACAAACAAAATTTTGAAGAAAATCTAGAAGTCAACAGTGAAGAACTCTTTTTACACTTTTAAAATTCAAATGTCTGTTGGAGCTGGTGGTTCAAACATGTTTAACAACATCTGTTTTGGGGCTCCCAGGAAGCAAGATCTATATAATAGTAGAGATGATGAAGAAGCACTTCACCATTAGATTTTAGTTTTTTTTGTTTGTTTGTTTTTTGTTTTTCTTGGTTGTTTGCTGTTGTTTTTATTCTTCAATTGATTCCTTTAAAAAATTCTTCATGATACCAATGCTCTTGATGACATAGTGGATGATACTGTTTGAAATGCATGGCTATTGATGATTCAAAAAATCATCAAAATGAGCAGAAAAGGGATTCAAAAAACAGATTTTATTTTTAATTATTTTAATAACAGGTACAAATCTGTGATGAAATGAAACAGAATGCAAAGAAAAGATAGAAAAGATAGTGAATTTGAACTTTAATTGTATACTTTCTTACCAAAAATAAACGGATAAGCAAAGAACTTTAAATTAGAAAGGATAAAATAAACATTATTGAAAAGAAATGGAGTAACATGAGAAAATGGTGAGTTGTCCTAAAATCTTTATTTTTAATGATCTTTTTTGATTTTTAGCTCGTTAGCATACAGTACAGAATAATACAAAAGGGTAGAGGGAAAAGTGACTCTCCCTTCCACTGTCTGTAGGATATTTAATTATCTATCAGAGAGACAATTACTGTTGCATATTTTTGCCTTGTTTCCAAGAGATACAATAGGCATATGCCAGCATGTATATGTGAAAGTGAATTATTTTTAAACAAAAGATAGCATACTAATGGTGTGTAATTTTGCCTTTTCAATTTACACTAGGTATTAGCTGGAAGCCATAAAAGAGCATTTAGAGCTGCCTCAATCTTTTTCATGGTGCATACTTTCCCATTGTATATATTCACCACGATGTATTTGAACAGTCTCTAACTGACAAACATTTATGTTGTTTCCAACCTTTCCTATTACAATAAATACTATCTGAAGCACACTGAGTCTAATTCCTATTCTGTATAAATTACACTTAATTATTCTTCTAGTGATATCAGAATAATTACCAATATGGAATTATAAATAGTGACAAAGCAATATTTTGTTTAAATTGGCATAAAATATATGCCAAAATTTATAGAAAATTTTACAATTTATAAACTGGTAAACATAGAAATTCTGGCCAGATTTCTAGAACTGATTATTAAGCAGAAAATGATGACACGTGTAGCAGAGCAGTTAAGAGGATGTGTCCTAGAACCAACCTGGCTGGCTCTCCCAACTCACTGCATAAACATTTCTGGCTTGGTTAGTAAAACAGAGAAGATAAAGATACCAAACTAATTTCTGCCATGTCCTTAGAATAGTGCCTGACATACATTCAGTACTCAATCAGTGTTAACTGTCATCACAATCCTAGGAGGGCAAGGAGGATTTATGTTAGGAAATATACTACTAAAACTTGCAACTTGAACAAATTAAATAAGAGCAAAATGAAAATATCTTGATACAAACTGAGAAAGAATATTTTATACAGTTGATCAATTCTTAAATGAAAATGTAAACTTCATATAAATAATGGCATCACTAGCATAATCCAAACTTTGGGATAGATTGGGGAATATATTTGCAACAAATGTAACATCAAATGATTAAGGGTCACATTATATAATCAACAAGTGAAAGAAAAGTCAAACAACTCTATGAAAATGTGTAAAGAATATGAACAGGAAATTCCAAGAAGAATAAAGTGACCAAAAGAAAATCATAAAACAAATAAGCTCAGACTCAACCCTGATTAGCAAAATGCAAATTTTAAATAATATTTTTCACTTATTACATTGAAAAATAAACTGATAATAGTCAGTGTTTGAGAAGCACTGTAGGAAATATATGTTCTGTGATTATTTGGGATGTGAATTGGGAAATACATATTCTATGATTATTTGAGAGGTGAATTTGTACTGGCTTTTGTGGGCAATTTGCCAGTATTTTTCAGTTTTGATCGTCCTACATTCCATATGTAGGAGCTTCATGTACATTTACAACAGGATTGATGTAAAAATAAAGTACAAAATAGCATAATATACTTTAATATTATAAAGATATTGAAAGTCTTATCTAAATTTTAACAACAGAGAAGTGGAAAAATACACTACGATATATAATATTATGGAATACTGCTTATTTATTTTAAAAAAGAGTCAGAAATTCATGTACTGAAATGGGACATTTTGAAGCTGCATTGTTATGTGAGAAAAATTGCACACACACACCTACATATATACATATGTACATATAAAAATCAGTGTGTGTATGTGTGAGGGGAGGTGTATGTTTGTGTGGTGTGTGAAGTCAGATGTAATTCTTACCTTTGCTTCTCTAGCTTTTTTCATGATTTTTTTCTTTATTTTTGAATTTCTGTAGTTTGAAAATTATATGCTTAGGTGTAGGTTTTTTGTTGTTGCTTTAGTTTGAGTTTTATCCTTCTTTGTGTCTTCTGAACTTCCTGGATCTGTGGTTTCATGTCTGATATTAATTTGGGGATGTTCTCAGTTATTATTGTTTCAAATATTTCTCCTGTTCCTTTCTTTCTTTCTTTCTTTCTTTCTTTCTTTCTTTCTTTCTTTCTTTCTTTCTTTCTTTCTTTCTTTCTTTCTTTCTTTCTTTCTTCTTCTGGTATTCCTATTGTGCATATGTTTAGCCTTTTGTAGTTGTCCTACAGTATTAGATATTCTGTTTTCTTTTTTTTTTTCAGTCTTTTTTTGTTTGTTTGTTTGCTTTTTAGTTTTACATTTTCTGTTAAGATCTTCTCAAGATTCTTTCCACAGCCATGTCTAGTCTTGCTAATAAGATGATCAAAGGGATTTTTCATTTCTGTTATAGTGTTTTTGATCTTTAGCATTTCTTTTAGATTCTTTCTTAGAATTTCCACCTCTGCTTACATTTCCCATCCCTTATTCCATGCTGTCTACTTTATCCATCAGAGTTCTTACCATAAAAAATAATTCTTGGTCTGATGATTCCAACATCCCTGCCTTATTGAATCCAGTTCTGATGCTTGCTCCGTCTCTTCAAACTGATTTTTGCCTTCAGTATGCCTTGTAATATTTTCTTGATAGTGGGACATGATGTACTGGCTAGAAGGAACTGCTAAATATAGGTCTTTAGTAATGTGGTGATAAATTACGTTGTAAAGAGGATGCATTCCATAGTCCCATGGTTCGGTCTCTGTCTTTTAGTGAGTCAGTGCCACCGGACTGTGAACTTCATAATTTTTTTCTCATTTTTTTTTCCCCTTTAAGTGGAACAGGATGGTTACAGTGGACTCCAGTTGGGTATTTCCCTTCTCCCATGTGGAAGTAAAGGGAGTCAGAGCTATGTATCCCTCTTTCTGCATGCTGAAAAGCCATTTACACACACACACACACACACACACACACACACTTGACTAGTTACTTCCTATTCTTTCTTATATTTTAGTTCTTTCACAACTTGCTCAGCTAAGTCTGATTAAGTAAATTCATTCTTTTTTGAAAAGTAGTATTTACAACAGAAATTTCTTATTTATTTATTTATTTATTTATTTGATTGTTTTTTAATCAAAATGTGTTTCCCATCACAGTAACTAGTTGATGGCAGGGACTAGTTTGCTTCCTCACAGTTGTATCTCTGGATCTTAGATAGTGCCTGGTTATCTAGGTGTTCAATAAATATTTGCTATTGCAAATTAATGCTTGGGTAAATGAGTATATATAAAGTTTGGTAAAATAGTAATCTTTAACCATTTTATATCATAAACTATGAGAATTCAAGATAAATGTTAATTTACATTGAAAGCCAAATAATGGAATATTCTAGGACTTTACACAATGCCATCCTGTATGTCATTGACTTTAATTTCTCTTTTTTTCTGCAATATAACGTTCTTTAAATAAGAATGCTCTAAGTGTTTAGTTAATGTGTTTTGTAAGAAATCTACATAGTCTTATAACTTGTGATAACATGAAAGGACTAGTCTTAGAATGCTTGGGGTCACATTTAGAAGCTAATATATATCCAATTAATCAAATCAATTATGCCTTATTTCTCATTGAGGTTTTATTTATTTTTTTTCCAATTTGAATAATGAATTTTTGAAAGAGTTGAAAACTGTTTTCCTAAGGCAGAGGAAATTGTGATTTAAAAACCTATGATGGACAACAAACATGGAATGAACCATGTGTTTTCATCTTTCCAAGACTTTAAGGTTAATTAAACTTGGCAGGAATTACAAACAAAAGTGTTGGTGGATAAATTACCAATTAATAAAGTCAAATAAAAACAAACAGCAGAACTTAGATGTACCTCATTTTTTTGCACATGGTCATCAACATCCCTGTAATTAATTAAGACAAAAAAGTGAAAGTCATTTTTGATTTCTTTCTTTCACCCCAAAGTTGAATCAGTCAGCAGTACTTGACTCTACCTCATCTATATTTGGGTGCTATACACTTTTATATGCCTATAGTACAACTGGCTTGGTACAGAAAACCATCATTTTCTACCTGGAATATTTTAAGATTTTCCTACCCAGTCTCCCTGATTCCAAATCTTTCCTTTTCACCTACCAACCCTCCAGTAATCCTTCTTCACAAGTAGCTAAATAAACCGTTAAAAAAAAACTTTTAGTTGCTTTCTATTTTAAAAATATTTCCTTACTTTGACCAAGAAGATTTAATACTTTTGTACTCAGATAATTCTCCCACCTGATTGGTACCACTCTCTTGCCTTGCCTCATTCCACTCAGGTCGATTTTACCTTTAAGTAACAAGCTCATTCCTGACTTAATGGCTTTTGTATTTATTATTACATTGCTTAGAATGTTCCTCCCCTTGATCATTATATTTCTGGCTCTTTATCACTCACTCTTCAGCCTAAGTTTCACCTCCCTGGAGAAGTCTTTAATGACCCAACCTCTAGTAACAATTGTCATTCTGTTTTTCATTTTTCTTAGTGCTTATCACTACCAGACATTTTCAATTTCAGTGTTGATTATCTGTCTTCCGACATTGAAACATGAATTCCATGTGAACAAAGTTTTTGTTTGTTTTGTTCACCACTTTATCCCTAGATTGTATAGAAGTGCTTGTTACATAGTATTTATTCCATTTAGTTAATAGCAAAGTAACAATGAAGATATATAAAATTCAGTTTTGAGTCAATGTGTGCATATATATATCATATGTATATATGTATAATTATGTTACATAGTACATTGTTTTCTTGATATGTGAAAAAGTAACTAAAACTAAATTTGGTGATATGTTTATTTAGTTAACAATTTAAAAGTACAGGAAGTTATTAGGAAGTACAATATGTTTCTAAGAGGAAAGCAAGAGATATTGAATAGTGAATTGTTTCCACTATATTTACTATGCCATACATTAATATCTCTTTCAAATATGAAGTAGAGCCTAATTTCTGTTTGTTCTTTGCTATGTGCTGTGTCCAACAAGTAAGCAGGTGACATTTTGATTGTAATATTTAACGTACTTTTTTAATTGAAAATGTATACTATCTAAGTTATTATCTCATGAAGTGAAAATATTCCTTACAGAATACCCATGAAAAATGGTCAGAGACAAATTGCCTAGAAAGATTGAAATGGGCTTTGGAGAAACAAAACAAAACAAAAAACAATATAAAAACAAAACAATGTGGCCATGCAAAATGGATTCTCCTCTATCCCTAAGCCTAGAAAATAATGTATGAGACTGTACGTGCCTAAATGTATGTATCAAAAATGAATAAAAATGACTCAACAATAAAATGAAATGAATTGCTGACACACAGAATATCATGAATGAATTCTAAAACATTATGCTGAGTGAAAGAAGGCAGACACAAAAAATCACACATTGTAGGAAACTATATCAAGCTTTATAAGAGCTAAAAATTATCTATTATAAAAGAAATCAGATTATTAGTTGCCTGGGACAGGGAGAGTTGCCTGGAGTAGTGTGGGTTGTCTGCATAGGAACATGAGAGAACTTTTGAAGATGATGCTAATATGGAAAGCGTTTTGCATTTCACTCTAAATTTTGCGTGAAGAAAACGTAAATTTTGAGTTCTTTCTAGTGATATACAAAGAGTCTATCATTACTTTGATGCAGATGTCTGATACTCACAGGTATGCAGCTTTTCCTTCTTCAAGTTCTTTACTTTTACCACTGGAGCCACTTTTCTTCCCGCACATTCTCCTGGTGATGCACATCAATAACCCACATTGTCGAATAAAGAAGCAGCTGACGTCTGTTACCACAAGAATTAACAAGAGTGCAGCGACTCCCAGACCAATGACCGCTCCAAGCCCAAGACCATTAAAAAGTGTGTCTTAAAAATAAAAGAAAATAATTTTATTAAACCCCAAATTAGAAAAGATTATACAGTTATTAAAAAAAAGAAATTATCTTATCCGAGAAATATTCAACTTAAGAGACAGGAAAAAATATCTTCATTAGCATACTTCAATTTCATGATTGCTGGGAGCTATTTTCTGGTTTCCAAACAATGTTTTAAGCAACTGACATGTTAAGGATTTAAAATATTTCTTTCAAACTTTCTTTAGAAAAAACACTCTAAGTAACTCTTCTATCCAATATACTTCTTGATTACCTTTGGGGAAGATAATGAATATTTTATCATAACCCTAACTATACTCTACCAGAAAGTCAGAGCCATTAATAGATCATCACTTTGTTAAAAGAAAAAATATAGTCAAAACTCCTGTAGAAGTGTTAAATAAATGCTCTATATGGAATCATTTTAGTTTTAAGATTTGGGCTTGCAAATGATGCTGGAGCACTTTGCTTTGACAGAGAATGCTCTTTAAAATATCTGCCTAGAAATATTTTAAAAAATCATCATTTCAGAATAAATGTATTTTTCCAATTAATATTTTAACAAATTATATTAGACTAGAAACAAACTTTAACAGAGTTGTGGTAATTATGACCTTTCTGAAGTCATATCGTGAAAAGGTAGGGGAAGATGGGAGCCACTTTTCTGTGACATATGGTTGCAGGAAATTCCAAAAGCCATGGAATTCATGAAAGAGGTGATGGAGAATAGGGTGGAATAGGCTGACTGACAGAGTAAAAATGGCAAGAGTGGCTAGTACAGCAAAAATGAATCAAACTTTATATGCCTGTAGTCGAATATGAGGGTAGATTACACAGCTATAACAATGTAATAGGAAAGTGAGCACAATGGAAAGACACAGGATTAAACTGGTGACTGGTGATACTGTGTTATCTAGAGGGAAAAAAGAGAATTATATGACAATTTTATAGAATTGTTCAAAATTATCAACATGATCATGTTAAAATTTGCTTATGTAACATTATAAAATTATAATTATCGTTTTTAATCATAAAATATAATTTTCACTCAGCATCATAATCACATGCTCAGTCTGTGAGTGGTGTGCAATGCAAGTGACAGATACAGGGAGAGATGCAAATTTGAGTTTTGAGAAAACCACTTCTGAAAAAAATGTATATGTAAAACAAAGATTTTGTAAGTTATATTTTTAAAGTTAGGTCCAATATATTTTAATCATGACTGAAGAAATTGTGATCCAAAGGGACTGATATAACTGTCCTTATGTTGAATCTTCCACTAACAGGCCAGTCTTGAATATGTCACACCTGTCTGAATCCTAGTTTATTTTTCTGAGTCTAATGTCTAAACTTATTTTATTTTTTCCAGGAAATACATGTTATTTATATTTCTTAACACTCTCAGAGCTTGCATATAGATTAATAAAAATCATTCTATTTGTTACATGGTGGCTGGCACTTACACAAGCAACTTTGTTCTTCATGTGTGCTAAAACACACATATTCTACAGTGTCCCCGTGATGTTGCAAACTCTTTAAGCACTGAATCAAAAAACTTGGAACTCACATGCCCAAGAAAAGTGTGATTTTGATTATAACTATTTTACTTCTGATAATGAGAAACAGGTGATAAACACATGACAGTGGTGGAGGAAAAAAATATTTCATGCCATTTTCAGAATCTCCTTCCCCATCAGTTTGACATGCTATTTAGATGCTTTTAGGGTAGAAAAATTGCCTAGCTCATATCCAGAGAAATTGTTAGCTTCCACACAACTGTTATCATATGAACCCATATTAAGGAAAGACTAGAGAAACAAAAATATTTTTCAGCCATGGAAATTTAGTATCTTTTTTTTATGCAAAGTTCCAATATACAAATGGACAATGAGATCCTAAATATTATTTAATAATTTTCAAAGATGTATCTATATACACAATTTAAAAACATCTAGTGCCTCATGCTATAAAAATAATATATCAAGCACACCAGGATTTCTTTTAGTGATTTAAGAAATCATTTTATGCATTTTCTTCCATTATCCTTTTTCAAATATAAATGATTCTCATTTGAATATACTATTACAATATAATGAAGACAACTCAGCTTTGAAATATCTTTGTTTATATGTAAAGCAAAAATATGTTTTACAGTGTTCATAAGTAATTATTTTGGATGTACTTCACATAATTCAACAACCAAAGCTCAGACAAGAATAGTAGAAAAATACATCTCCATTTGAGATTTAGCCCATCTGGATATATTGACTCAAACGACATTTGAACTTTAATCACTTCTTTCTTACTTCATTTAGGTTCCTTTCACATGCAGACATAGTTCTAGACAATAAATCCCACAACTCAGTTATGATATATCTGGCCCAATATATAAATCCCCATTTACCCTTTTAAAATGTGAAGACTCTTGCTTTGTATTTAAATGTACTGGATCTGGTGTCAGAAAATCCTGGTTCCATCACTTACTCCTATATGTCCTTGGTTGAGTCACTTAACTTTTCTCTAAGGCTGACATGTCTCTTTATTGAAATGGGGACATTTAGGAAAAATGTCATTGCATAGAATAGGCATGGATGTCGAATAGGTTTATGTTATAAATATTTAATTATGCTTTCTTTTCAAAGATTTAAAAAAAATATTTCATCTTAAGAATGTATTTAAATGCTCACACATTCTTATATCCCATGAAGTTAGGCTATAATAACTATAAAAGCTAAATTTCTGTTCTTTTTTTTCTTTTGACACCAATTTAATCTATTGTGAAAGTTCACTTATTTGTCTTTGGACTTTTCACAAAGTCATAATCATGTGTAACATTACATCACTAGGATTTGGGGACTAGCAATAATTTATTTCCTCAATAACATACAAAAAATCTTTCTTTAAATTATGGTTTTAATAACTTAACAAATTGAAACAGCATAGCAATCATTTAAAGGATTTTATTTAATTTATTTTTAAAGGACTTTAAATTAATCTTTTCAGTTTCCCAGAATACTTACACGTGTGTTTTATGATATAATTTTTATTAAACTCCATTACCTAAACAAAAATATTTTCAGGTCTATCTTCCAGATAAGAAAAATGATATCCAGAGAGTACAGTGACCTAAGTCACAAGATAACCCGTAATACCCTTAATATTAAATCTGTACAAATGAAGACTATTTAGCTTCCGGTTCTATATAAATATATTGGCCTCACCACATGGCTTCTGAGATATTAGTTCCCTAACCAGGAGTTGAACCTGGACCACAGGAGTGAAAACGCCAAGTCCTAACCACTAGACCACCAGGGAATTCCCCGGTTTTATACCTGTGTTCAAGTCAACATTTTGTACTGGATACTCAGCTTCAAATAATCAAAAGATAGAAATAAAATTAAGTGACTAAATTAAAATGTATAATTTGCTTGCATAAAAATGTCAATATCCATTTTTTTCCCATATGACTAGTGGAAAAACAACTATCTAAATAAGGTATAATTATGCAACTAATTATTTCTTGCTTTTATGTATTTTTTTTGAATTCTTATTTTCAGCTTCTATTTTAGTGATCTTTTGCATTGCTCTTTTGAAAAGGGATTTCATATTAGAATTGAATAAGAATAAATAATTTAGGAATTAAAAATTTAAACATCTATTTTTAGGTACAGATTTTATTATTGAAAGCAAATATGAGAATCAGTCTAAATGAGTTTTTACAATCTCCCTCCAAGCTGTACCTCCCACACCGTGAAATTTAAAAATTGGCTAACTTAACCAGTATGTATCCTCAGAGCTTTATGTACTTGCAATTTAACAGTCATCAAAATATAAAATCAAAGCAAGAAAATAAGAAAAAAACACTTCATTTCAAATCTGTCATATGCACGTGTTTTCATGTTTCTGTTGTAGAAATTAACTCATTGCTAAAACACTGCATTAATTTCCCATGAAATATACTATGCTTATATTAGTTTTTTTAAAAGCCACTACAGGGCTTCCCTGGTGGCGCAGTGCTTGAGAGTCCGCCTGCCGATGCAGGAGACGCAGGTTCGTGCCCCGTTTCGGGAGGATCCCACATGCCGCGGAGCGGCTGGGCCCGTGAGCCATGGCCACTGAGCCTGCGCGTCCGGAGCCTGTGCTCCGCAAATGGGAGAGGCCACCACAGTGAGAGGCCCGCATAACGCAAAAAAAAAAAAAAAAAAAAAAAAAAAAACCACTACAATTTAAAAAGTAGCATTGCTTTCTGACTCCATAAGTAGTTCAGTATTTTAGTTAACTCTTTTTCTATAGTTTGAGAATTACTTTTAGATGTGGAAAGTTGTGATAAAGATATGGAGAAAAACTTTTTTCTTAATTTAAAGCATCCTAAAATGGAGATTTGTTTGTTGCTTCCAAAATAGTGGTAGTTATTTTCATAAGCAGTATTGCTAAATACAGTGAGTTTAAGTGTATAAAAGATAAAAAGAAAAGCCCTTTTTGGTGTTCATCATGACATTAACTAGATATTATACCCTTCCACAATAGAGGTAGGACATTTGTCTCCTGTTTATACATTCTTCCTTCATTCTGCCTAGTGTAACATATTTTCAAATATCAAATGATTTCTGGAAAATCTAGGTATAAATCTATACACACGTATGGTTCATCCTATGTGAAAAGATGAAGCAGACAGCTTCCTGCATTTGAGCTCCATCTAAGCAGTGATGGTCAGCCATTCAACTACTTTAAAATCAAACATCTGGGTTATCTAAAGACTTTTGTGTCTACACAGTTTCATTATTTTTTTTAAAGGACTATTTATTCACTTAGGCTTCACAAACATTTATTGAGTGCTACAAAATTAGTGCAATATTAGAGGGGTTTCCTGATATGTACTAAAATATGTTAAAAATTAACATACATCTTTGGGCTTATCATACAGCTATTTAAGTCCCATTTTACTTATGAAGCATAAATTCCCCAAATTTAATTTCATTCATTGGATTCCCC